TCGCATTGCTATGCGAGATACAATCTTTTAAATTTATATTTTATATATACAATTAAAATACCGTATACCTAATAATATTATATTCATTCTAGACATAAAATGTATATCATTAAGAGTGGAATTAATAATAATAACAATATAAAAATATGTGTTACAGGTAAAACGTCTGTAAAGATAAAAAGAATATAATTACCTGCCGCCTAAAAAAAGATCTGTTACATTGGATAATGTATCATTTATATTTATATAATATACATTTTTTTCTGAAAACTGTTATATCATATTATATTATATTACTTAATCCATTAAAATTTTAAACACATGAGTTTGTTGTTACCTTAGAATTTTGATTTAATTTAAGAGAGAGATTTATATAGTTGACTACAGTAAAATACCTGTCACAAACAAAATTATAATTAAATTAAATTGACTAAAGATTTTTGAAACGTGTTAAAGAGAATTTCTATTTTCCAATCAATTTTACTGTAACAACATAAAAGGTATTTAACTTTATTCCATTATGTTACGTCAGATTTCTGGATAAGTTGTATTTAATTAGGTTTTGCTTAGGAACGACCTTTACATAAAATATGTCATAAAGAAAGTAGGTACATTGTTAATCATAGGATAACAACTATTATAATGCATTTTTAACGATTAAGATAAGATATTTTTCTAAAAAATAATTGTATTATTTTAATCATATAATTTACTTAATTTTACTTATTGTTTTTGATTACATTATGTCGTAATCACAGTTACRTACTTATTGTAATTATTTAAAAAAAATTATTCAGATAGGAGACTACTTAATATTTGTGTGTTTGTTTAAAATATTTAATTTACCAACTAGAATTCAAATATTGTATAACACAGGCGATTTATTTTTTTCGTTCAATAAACTATAGTAGGTTTAACAAATATTTAATATATTCGACTTTACTGACAGAAAAATAAGCGTAATAATACAATATATATGTTATATAATAAATAGAAAATGAATACYATAATCTAATTTTAGTGAAATAATTATAATAAGGGCCAGTAAAAATATATTCAGAGCATTTTTGTATACTATATACAATATTATATATTATACTATTTGCGTTTCAACAGGATGTATTCGTTTAACTTRTAATGAATAGACAACTTATAAATTACAACCATAAAAGGCTGCTGTAATATATACTACCTGGATGGGTTTTTTTCAATAACAGTGTTAATAGTGTTATGTTTAATGGTGTAGAATATTGGTACAATATGTCTACRAGCGTCTATTTAACTTTCGCAAGCAAATTGAAAACCCATCTGAACGCTAATGGTCTAGATTACATAAATATCATTTTATACGACTGGTGTAATGCAAATTATACACCGGAAGTATAATTTAGTTTATTATGTGTTCCATTATATTGGCTTACGTGTTTGGTGTTTAGCCCAAATTTTGTAGTATAACATTCGTTATAAATATTTATACCGTTGACTAATAAATATTTAAATATTWAAAAAAAATTATATTTTAACGTACCTACCTAATTATATAGCTAGAAATTGAATCATACGTTAGTTATTCGCAAAAGTATTAGTATTTTTTTTAATGAGAGTGAAACGTGAAACAATCGTTTTATAGAACAGTAGGATTTACTACATATTTGAAGTTTTTAGATTAACGTAATCATGAATAAAAAATAAAAAATATAAATAAATATTATTATTAGATATTTTTTACATTAAATTATATTACAGTAGCTACGTGTTTATGAAACAGTACCTTTTTTTATGTTTTTATTTAAAAATACAATAAGACTCAATTARTTTTCATTTCTTAGAAATTAATACAAACTATTGACGATATACCTATTATAATAAGAGATAAAAAAGTAGTATCTAAATAAATATTTTAAGTTTTTATTTTTTAATTAGTATTATTAATCACTGATGTCTGATACAGATGTGCAATGTGCATAATCTTTTTAAACGAGTATAACCTCTAGTAAAACATTTAAACATWTAAAGTTGTTTTTTAAAATGAATAAAACAATTAAAGTTTCAAGGGATTCAAATACATTTTCAGTTATCATTAGGTAGTATAAGTTTTGTTAGTWGACACTGAAATCAATAACTATAGGTAGGTATTATTCATTTTAAATAAATATCAATAGGGAAAATTATTTACTTTGATAATTCAAAATAATAAAATCAAATTAATGCATGGTTCATCAAAAAATGCTAACACTGATAGAATTCAAACGTTCCAAAATATATCACTCCGACGCGTCTATCCAATACTTCACCCTATATCTATAATTAAATTCTTCATAATTACCTCCATAGGTGAACAGTCAAAGAGCTTCCTCTTAACATATTATCTTCTACACTCGATTTCATAAACGACTCCAAACTTATCCTAACCCTCTCATAAAAGATCTTTCCATTCTTACACACCCAAGAAATCCTAACTGCAGGCTAAAAAGGAAGTTTTGCCATGAAGTTTTCCAAAACTTTAATATCTTACGCATCTCAAAAAATATAATAATAAATAACAATTCAAAATTAATCACTACTCAAGAAACATTAATGGGTGGCTATTTTATTCGCATTTCTCACATTATATTTACTCTTATCATWTAATATAAGCTTATATTGTGTTAATTATTTGTATAGATTGTTTGTGTCAAATAAAAATACATACAAAAAATTTATATCGATATACAAATGTACAAGGTGATGTAAAACCTTTTAGTCATAAACCAATTTAAATGAAAACCTCTAACAGGCAAAGGGTGCAATTAGTGTATGAGTGAAATTGGAAATTTCTATTAATCGTTTGATAACTATATACAAAACGATAGCGGTAGTACATAATACGTTATGTGTGTTATATATAGTGCCATATAGTGAAATATACCTATATCCAAGAACCGGAAACTTTGAATTTCATTCGACGAGTTTTTAAGCAACTCGTAGAGTGTATATTGAATGGCTGCGATGAAATTCATCATCAATAACCAGCAGTATATAATAGGTCACGCAGTCTTACAATAATACACATCATATATAAATGCRCTTTACACTCCTATAGTAGGCAGTAATGGCGTAAAATTGTACTTAAATCATTTATCATAAACTATGTTATAAATAAAATGATAAAAAAAATTGGGTATTATCCTCACATTGCAAGCGAGTTGAACGAGAAATTTTTTTTTCAATACCGTCTGCAGTTTTCGTTTTTCGACAAGCCGAATCTCGGAACGAAACTGTATCCCCACAATTATATTGCATTTGCTGTGTCAATTAAAATACATCTCGACGATCGTGTTGCATACACAATATACATTACAATATGATATTAATATATCGAACCGTTACAACGTTATGGCTCTAATGAGGTCTGCACAGTCATTGTGATCAATCCGTGGGATCCTATAGCGCGCATAGTAATTATCGTTTTATTTTCGCAATGTTCGTCCGTAGGTGGAAACTCGAGCTTGATAAACAAGAAAAAAGAAAGTACCTGATACGTCCCCCCCCCCACGCGTCCAAAAATGATGATTTTCAATTTTAAATTGAACCCGTAACCGATCATTATCCGTGATKCACATTTTTACAGTCGGTGCATATATAGATGCAATTATTAAATTGGCTATTTTGTACATGCATACATTTTGTCGTCAAGTGCAAATATTATACCACTCATAGACGGTGTTTTGAACATCCGCACAATATTGTTTGTATGACACATATTATTATGCATTTATGTATTATAATATGTACAATAACGATTTGTGTGAAATATGATAATATTGTAATTAAATCACGCGATAAACGCGTAATCGAAAATAACAGCTAATTAACCCTCGAACACTTAATTTTTGACACATATAGCCATATAGGCGACGATAAGAATATGTGTGTGTGTGTGTGTGTGTGTATGTGTGTGTGGTGTGTGTATAGATTGAGCTGTACCTATATCACATTGTTAGTTGAAAATGAGTGTTGTTTGAAACATGTCCGTGTCGTGTGGAGATTTGTGTGTTTAATATATACTATAGTAAAACGTTTACGATAAAACAAATCATAAAACTGTTATCACGTTAGACTATTTTAGAGTGTTTATCGACGTAAAACAAGACTGTGTGTGTATAATCACGCTTTCCCCCCGAGATTAGGGATTAGGATTTACAATATTATTTATTCCTTCAGTCATGTGCGTGTATTCATCCGTTAATCACGTGTGTTGTGATAATATGTTCTAGATAAAATAGATGATCTCGCGGACTATCAAATATCCGAGATTTTTGCATATGGAGAACGGTCGGCTGAAATCTTTAATATCGTGTGGATAGAGGACGTCTAAGTCGTAGATTACGCATCATATCAATCATATTACTAGTGAGGGAAAGAACGTCATGCTTAACTGCACCGATGCCGAGTGCACGTTGCACCATCACCACATTCACGTGGACCCGATACAGCATCATCTACAGGATGATCGGCAACACCATGAACATTCCTCAGGTAAACATTTTGATTAATCAGTTGATAAGATAAAAAAWCATAATATTATTAATGGTAGTTTTAATATAGTTTATACGGCGTATAATTGCGTGTAACCCTGATTTTTAGCTTTAATTAACCGAGAAAAATTGCAAACGTATTAAACCGTCAAAAACCCGTAGTTAAAAATATATAATATAACGAGAGCCTCAATGGAATCATTATTTTTTAATTACCGATGCTATAAGTCAATGAGTTGATTTTAATTAATGGTTATATTTTAAGTCGTTGTCGGGCTTCTCAAMTTTTAATTTAATATGCGTCATCATTATATTTACTGCATAAGCTCGGGTATGATGTATTGCCCACACGCTATAGGAAGGTATTCAAATGTAGAATTTAATTGTTGTGCATGATCTTATATTAGTATCATTCGAAATACCGTAGGATGCATAAACTGTTATTCATTAAAGTATTGCAGCACTATCAAGATTATAACAATCATTCCATTACATTAGGTTAACTCAATCAAGTAATTTAATCTATTTAGTTTTAAAATAATTTCTTTCAATAATAATTTTCCTCTCTTATTAATTTTACCTTATTATATAATAGTTACTGGYACTTAAATATACCTATATAATATAATCATTAATAATAGTAATAATAACGAATACATTTACTTTGTGTCTTTGTTCATTAATTAACTTGGTTTCTGTGGTTTTATTCAATTTGCTAGTTGACAAATACTTATATATTCTATTATGTATTATTATACAATATAGTCAATATACTTTACAATATCAAATGAAACATTATAATATATTATATGTAATTTAACAGTAACTATTGGATAGGTAATACAAAATATGGTTTATTAAGTAAATAACCGTAGTATGTTTTAATGTTTACTTTACAGGGGAACTGCATTGTTCAAGTGTATGTTAAATTAGGTATCGTTTTGCATCAATATTAAAATAGAATAAATCATATAGATGTGCAATATTCTGAAATATTCTACAAAATGGGTTGTAACAAAATGTAATTTTATTAAACTAATGTGTATAGTAATAATTTAATTTTGAATACCTTAAACTAACATGTTTTAATCTCGGAAAATTAATAAAAATTAATAAAATTTGAATACCTAATTTAAGTACTAGAAATTACAAATCATTTMTCATATGTTTAATCGTTACTACGAATAATTCATAAATTATTAGAAACGTGTCTGCARAAATAAAATTCTCGAACAATGTTATTGTGGTTTGGAGAATGTCAATCACAAAAAGTAATGCGCATTAACTATTAAGTAGGTAGGTAATAAAATAATAACGAAGGCAATTTCAAACCATTTATTTAACTCATACAATATCTGTTAATAAAAACGGTTAAAAAATAATAATATCTTTAACTATGCCTACCTAAATTAATTAAATCACATTATAGTAATAAGTAGACATTATACTAGACGTTATATTAGGAATTTTAAATTTGAATGTAAAATATTGAAATAATAATAAACTTAAGTAAATTTTAAATGAATTATTATTTTTATTTTCGACTAGATCTAGATCTAAATGTTGCCATAAGAATCGTTTTTAAGCATGTAATAAATATTTTACAGTTTTCCTTTTAACAGTAGTTATCACACGTGCCTTAGTATAAAACAATATCGCTACAATTGATTAAGGTATGGTGTTAACAATTTGTTGACACCTTTTTTCGTTTCTGAGAAGCACTAAATGGCGTAAAAAATTATAAAAGAAAAGTATATTAAAACTAATTATTTCTGTAAAACGTTGCGCGTGTTATTCATAATTTGGCGAYCAAATTTGTTCCTAGCTGGAACAGGTCGAGGTAGTATACTTATTCTATTACATAGGTAGGTAATACCGATAATAGAAACAATTATGTATTATAAGGTGCGTTACGGGTCAGACCGACGCAGCTAGGGCACACATGAAAAAAACAAAATTGTGGTGAGACTTACACGAGTGTAGGATAGTACCCGAGGCACCGTGGGTAAATGGCCTCAGCAGCAGTGATCTGGTATGGAAGCGCCCGCGGGCGCCAGCGCGTCTCCGAAAGGCACTTTCACTGTTGGTCCCCACGACTCCCCGTCCTTGAATGCCACCTATAGGTCTGCAAAGTTTACTCCCCTTCCACCGCGTTTTCGGCCCCTCCGTTTCAGTATCATTCAGATGACCATGAACGACATACTGTGTAGGTATAATTCGTATATTACCTACTACCATTATATTTCCCAACAGCTGAAAAAGCTCTTCAGTATAAATATTTCAAACGCACGCTGTGCTCGAAAATGTCAGATTATGAAATTATTAATTCAAGCTGCATGCTAACAATGTGTACAGACATTGATTGTTATACCATGTACATATAATATTATGTGTGTATATGTCGTTGAGCATATTACTATAACATTTTCGTGTTACACGTGAAATGCACCCCGAAGTATTCGGTCGTTTTCTAGTGATGTACTCGTATATACCTACAGAACACGGAAATCTCATCATTCAATAAATCCCCATCATAAAAAAATTTAAATGCCATATAATATAGCCGATATAGGTGGATTCGAGTTTATCACGGTTTATTTATAAGTCAATGTATACCAATACATTTTAAGAACCTTGACCATTCTTATGGTATATGAACAAATTTCGTCCATTCGAAAAACTCTATTACTAAAACAAGAATTATATTTTATCTTCCAAGCTTAGAAGTTATAGAAATGCTAGGTTCTATACATCATTATATATTATTATTGTATCGAAATTATTTATTAATTATTTTAAAACTCCGTAAATGGCTATATAGTTAATTTGATAATTTTCCAAACAAATTGTGTTTATTTGATACATAAAACATAATATATACATTTTTTTCATGTGTTATCATAGCTGATTCGGAAACTACGATAGTATGCTTCCACCTCATTATAATGTGCATACCCTGTAAAATTTTTTTTTATTAAATATTGTATTTTGTAGTTTTGTACACTTCTATCACGCTGAGAAAATATCATTGTAAGTACGTAAATCATTTATCTATACCTATATGACATAATAAATCCTATGTATATAAATTGGCTATCTTCCCGAAATTGCCTACACCGGATATTATTATTATCACCTTGTCCGTCTACTCAATAATGCAATGGTCATAACACATATAATTATATTTATTATTTTTGTTTGTTTTTGCCAAAATATCAATATATTGTGTACATTTTAAATGATCGATGAGTATTTAAATTTATTTTCAATACATGCGCTACTTCTAAAACATTACTTCCTACTTCTGCTTAAATAGTTTGTGGTCAATTCATTACCAACATTATCACATTAATAATCGTTAACTTTTATAATTTGAAACAACTTTAACTACAGTTCGTATAACATAGTTAACAGACCGACTATAATAACTACCCACTATTATTATTATTATTATACAATGTATAAACATATAAGATACCAACACTAAATAATAATAGATACTATTAAACATTTCACGTTTCACATTTCAGATGTGTGTAACTGATTAAATATAATACGCGTACACGTCATGTACATTAATTGTACCAGTTTCATTGAAGAATTTTAACATTTTAAATTTATCACAATATTAATTTAAAATTTAAAATAATAAGCTCCAAGGCTACATAATATTAGAACTAATTTTTAACACTGTATCGTTTAAAAAAATGTGATATTGAGTTGGGTGGGCCAGTGTGTTCGCTTTTGTTTTTAAAACCAATGATAATTAGTATTTAATAATTACCTATAATCGAAAAGCAATATTCTAACCGGAGTTCAGGTTTATTAAAAAAAATTTATGTCTTTGTTAAAAACGAATGCTTGATTTTATTTTTTTATTTGCCTTCATATTTATTGTTATTAATTGGGATATACACTGTGATTTGAAAATGATATGATTAACTACTAATTTTGAGATGAGCTGCGTGAATAAAGTTTCTGGTCTAATTTTATCAGTAGATAACATAGAAGTTAATTGAAATAATATGTACAAAAACGATGCGTCGTCGTAAAATATATTGCTCGACCCTTTTGCAATAATAATTTTAATACGTTTTGAACTAGATTAAAAATAAATATTTTGCTGTTATATGTCAGAGAAGGTAATACATGTAAGAAACTCGTTTAGATTTCTGCTCCACATTATTGTATCTATACATGTAAATGTATTTATATGAAACATATTCAATACCGAAAAAAAAATACATAATATATTATATACTATTTTAATTGTTGTTAACTAGAAATTGTTTTACGACTGAGTAACATTATTTTAAATTTTATGTTTATTGTTATAATATTTTGTTGATTATAAATATTGCAAACGTCTATGGATCCATAAATGAAACAAGTTTGCCTGGTAWTTTTTTTAGCATAATGACGATGAATGGAAMCCTGCCAATACCAGTGGTAGACAATTATTAATGTTTTCTTCTCAATTCACAATTCGCATATAATATCAATTACGTAGCTTTACATAACTATCATTAATACGGTCACGTTTTGTCATCGAAACTATGTTTAATAGACGATTTTTCTTTTTCTTTTTTTATTATTATTATTTATATTGTTTAATGTCATCGATTCGCACATTGAATGATTAAAAATGTAGTCCAGGGTTTTGTACTTTCAAATAATTGTCACCCTCAGTGAAAAATTCAATTAACTCTATGGAAAACATAGGAACTATGTGATTTGACGACAGTGATTAACATTATGTTATATAAAATATACTATCATATGAATACCTATTGTCATTTTGAATACATGTCATTTTGCTCATTATTTTATTATCTATAAGCAGTATAAGCTATATAAGTGAGATATTGCTTGAACACATGGTGTAATTTTAAGGGTATTGCGTTGATAAATACTATGATAAAAAATTAACATCACTCTTTTACTGTATTAAGTGCTCATGTACACGTGAATTTATTACATAAAGCGATTTATTGTTTTGCG